TGGAGGGGGGGGGGGGGGGGGGGGGGGGGGTTACCCGTTGTGGTACCTTCCAGACCAGTGTTAAGAGACAACATTTTCCTTCTTGAAACAGCATAAGTCATGCTGTTTTAAATACAAAAGAATTAATAGATTCCTGTTTCTTTACAGGGTGGACAGACTTACCCAGGCAGCAGTGGTTCTTATGGTCAGGTAAGCTATTTTTGTACCATATATGGGCTTTGCCATTGTAGGTGCTGAAACAGTGGAATTTTAGAACATAGTGTGCCCCCTAGTGCTTTTTACCCATTGTGTTCCCACCCAGAGCAGTGTTAGAACACAATACTTTATTTCCTTGAAACAGCATAGTAGTCATGCCATCCTCAATTGAAGTAACAGGTTCCTGGATTTTTGTTTCTCTTTTGGCTTTTATCCATTATAGTGCTGCAAAGTATGGTTTTATAAGGAAAGTGTTTCATTTCTTAAGACAGCACAGTAGGCAAATAATCTCCAACAAAAACCACCTTCCCAAAGTGGCCAGCCTTCTTTACCACAGTGTAGCAGTAGCTATGACCAAGTAAATGCTGTTCAATCAAACAGAGCTGTCTGACTGAAAATATTACCTTTCTCAGATATGAATGGGGGAGGGGAGAGGAGATAATGACAAATAAAATTGTATTTATTTTGAATTTTGAAGAACATCTCCCATTCTAAACCCAGCCATACTGTAAGGCTGTGGAATGAAGCTGCTCCTCCTATGGTTTCCTCACTCTATCAAGCAGTATATTATATGAAAGATTCATTTTTTTTTAGATAGCATTGTAGCTGAGCTATCTGTTTTACATAGGAATGACTAGTTTCTCAAGATAGACAAAGTTCCATGGGTGGCAGCAGTTCTTAGGGTCAGGTAAAACTATCTTTATTCAAATACACACTTTGCTGTTGACTTCAATAAGAGCAGAGGCACGGAGTCCACAACACGGTAGTTGATCAGTTAACAGGAGACTTCTTTGAGAGCCTAAATACCTGAATTGTGTGTGCAAGTAAATAACACAAATTTCCAGAGATTTAATTGCTAGGTTTATAATTTGTAATTGGGATTTTTTTTTTAATAGAGCAATAGAAATTTGCTTCTCTGCTTCATTTTGAAATATCACCTTCATGTTCAATCTTTCCTTAGCCTAGGATGACTGTGGAGAGAGAGAACATGAAGAACTGCTACCTTCAAACATATCTTTTATAGTTAATTTTTGGACCTGAAAATGGAAATAAGTTATTGGATTTTTTTTTTTTTCCCCAGCAGGGAGGATCTTCCTCAAGTGGTAGCAGTGGGTGTGGAAAGGTAAGAACTTTCCTTCTAGTATATTTGAAAATTCCTCCCAATTTCCTACTTTTGAAAAGAACAGTTTGCTATGAACTGTATAATGCCTAGTAACTGAAGTACTTTTTGTTTCCATTAGCATGGACAGAATTGTATAGTGCAGAGAACCAGATGTTTGCTATTACACTAAAAAACATTATACTAGTAAGAGGAAAAGAAATGGCCCGTTCCTGTGAGAATGGTCAATATACATATAACTTCAAGATCCTTGAATTCTATTTCTCTCTGACTCCAAATCCTATAACAAATACTTTTTTTATTATTAAATGTTAGCTCATTTAGCACAACTCTAATTAGAGAGAGTCTTATAAACTGATGCCTAAAGGATGAAAGATTAAGCAGTAGTTTAATTCACTTGAATTTCACTTTCCTGTGAAAGCGTATGTGATGAACTAAGATCCAGGGATTCTGTCATTTAATGGCAAAAGTCTGGATATGAAAGAAAGAGAAGGGACTCAAGGATGAAGCTAAAATAGGGTGAAGTAGCTATAGTGAAGCCAGTAATGAGGAAAAAAAGAGGAGATACAAGAAACTTCAGAAAGAAAAATAACTTGTTTGGAAGAAATTTTTTTCTTTTTTTTTTCAGGGTACTCCATATGACAGCAGTTCCTGTTATGAGGTAAACAACCTTTTCTGGTAGTACTAAGACCTGTCTCAAATTGGGTATTTGTAATGGTCTTTGGGTATGTCTATGTTGCATCCCTGTTGCCTTGGGGAAAAGGTATAGGCATGCCCATTTTTGCCCGTTGTGTTCTGTTCTACATGCTGTATCACAATGCTGCAATCAAAACTCATGACTTGATTCTCAAATAATTTGTGCAAGTTTCATGAAGTTTTCTGTTATTGCAAAATTTTGTTTGAAGAATTTCACATGCATTGTTGCATACCTCCTTTCAGTGACATCAACTCAGATTAACTAAAGCACCTAAACTACTTTGGAACCAAAATCCTTTTGACTTTCTGAGAGGCAAAGGGGCTTTCAAAATGTTACTCCAACTTAATTAGCAGTGTCTCTTTAACCTAATTACATTGTGGCTCCAGATCAGTCTGTCTCACCCTCAGAAGTGGCTCAGAAGGAGGAATATGCCTGCGGATTTCCTCTTTTTCCCCCCTGAGGACCTTCTCCCCCCACACCAAGATTGTCTCTTTGGAATAGCAAGGTTTACCCTCTGCAGTCCCAACCTGTAACTTCAGCAGTGATCCTAGTCCCCAGAGAGCACGCTGGCTTCTTGGCAGTGTGGCCACGCTGAAGCCATAATAAAAGTAATTTAGTGTTTGAAATTAATTTTAAAATGTGAGCTGTCTATTTCAAGCTCACAACGAGGTCCTTCACTGTGATGCTACAGTAACAGCTGCTCAGCAGCAGAGAATTGAAAGAAAAGTGAACAAACAATAGGACATTAGTGGTGGCAGAAATTTCCAGGGACCCCATCAATTTCCCCAATATCTCTTTACTGCTTGCATCCTATGAAATCTTTCCATAGCACAAGGGGGCAGAGTGGAGGGAACAAATGGAGAAAGTATACTCTTTATCTCCTTCATACCCCATGTGCATACCCCATATCTACATGCACATTTTGCAGGGAAATAACTGATTTATGGTTTCTTCACAGAGTCAGTCCACTTCCTCACAGGATTCTTCTAACCAGGTAAGAGTTCATTCTCCTGAGGAATGTATTTTTTCTCAGTCTTGATTCTAAACAACTCATTGCTCTGCACTTGATTGTGCCTCTTTTTGATTGAGCTTACTATGAGCACATGAATGACTTTCAAAATAAGTGAAGAAGTAATAACCTTGTAGCATAAGTGATGGGATCAGAAATTGCTTATGAATTAAGTGTAGACAGGAAAGAGGAGGCGATAACCTAGAAAGTACCATAAATGGCAAGAAAGATGAGAGAGAACAGGAAGGTTTCTTTATCTTTAGCTTCTGTGGCTAAGTTGATGATGAAGAGGTCCACAGCTTTCTGGTTTCTTTACGGGGTCCTCCTCTTACTCACCAGGTTCTAGTGGCCAGATAAGAGCCCTGTCTCACTGAGAGTGTTTTTTTTCACACCGTGATATGACCCCCACAGTGTATTCAGTGGGACATCATGAGCAGAATACTTGAATGAGAAACGTACTCTTTTTCTGAATTTATCTAATTCCCTTTATTTTTAAAATCACCCAGTATTTAATTATTCCATAATAAGCACTAGTGGAATGGAAAGAGAGCACCTATATAGTCTTTTAGTCCTTTTCAGTCCTTTTAGTCCTTAGATTCTTAGAGTTCTATGTGGTTTCCTAAAACTTCATAGGATTTATGTAAGTACATTTGAAAAGAATTAAATGTGTTAAGACTTATTTGTGTTGTTTTTTTTCCAGAGTGGTTCATCCTCTTCCCAAGGTAGCAGTGGCTGTCAAAATGTAGGTTCTTTTTCTTTACTTCCTTTAGAAATATAGCATGATTTGCTACTTAGTAATAGTACACTTTGATATAAATTAGAATCAGCCCATGTGGGAGCTTGATTTGAAGAATTGTGTTTCTGTTCATGAAATTATACAATTTAAAAAGTTGGAGGGTGAATTAAATTACTAGCTATTTATCCTAAGTACAGTAGTCTTATCCAAAGACCACAGGAATAATAGGTACCAGTATTTTCTCTACAGAGCTTGGGAGGAAGAGCACATAATTATCTTCTCAGATGAACAATTCTATCCTAGCATTCTGCCTAGAGTGGTGCATTCACATCCTGTACTTAGAAGGTGTAGTGATCATTGGATTTTATACATACATGCATATACTGAACAAAAAGAACTAACCAAAAACTTTAATTAAAGAGCACCAGGCAACCTCTGCAGACCCTTAGTCTTTCTTTCACTCATTAGATTCAGGGTCCATCTCCCAATTCTCAACCTTTCTAATCTTCTAAGAGAGTTTCTCTAAATTATAATGCCTATCACTACATAGAGGGGCTGAGTCTAAGTGCTTAGCTACATAGCTGTGATTAAGTAGGTTAGCACCTCAGAGTGCTAAGATGTTCTTTCACTAGTAGGGAGGGAAAGACTGCAGAAAGACCTGAATAGGTTGCAGGGGTGGGCTAACAAAAACAGGATGCATTTCAATACTGACAAGTGCAGGGTGCTGCACTTGGGCAATAGCAACCAGCAGTACACTTATAAGATGGGAAACTCCCTTCTTGAGAGCACAGAGGCAGAAAGGGATCTTGGAGTCGTCATTGACTCCAAGATGAACATGGGCCGACAATGCGAGGTCACGGTCGGCAGGGCAAACTGGACCTTATCGTGCATCCACAGGTGCATCTCAAGTAGGTCCAAGGAGGTGATCCTCCCCCTCTACGCAACACTGGTCAGGCCACAGCTGGAGTACTGTGTCCAGTTCTGGGCACCCCACTTCAAGAGGGATGTGGACAACATTGAGAGGGTCCAGAGGAGGGCCACACGCATGATCCGGGGACAGCAGGGCAGATCCTACAATGAGAGGCTACGGGACCTGAACCTGTTCAGCCTTCACAAGAGAAGGCTGAGGGGGGACCTGGTGACCGTCTATAAACTCACTAGCGGGGACCAGAAGGGTTTGGGGGAGACCTTGTTTCCCCTAGCGCCCCCCGGGATAACAAGGAATAACGGCCACAAGTTGTTGGAGAGTAGGTTTAGATTAGACATCCGTAAGAACTACTTCACAGTTAAGGCGGCTAGGATCTGGAACCGACTTCCAAGGGAAGTGGTGCTGGCTCCTACCCTGGAGGTCTTTAAGAAGTGGCTTGATGCCTACCTGGCTGGGGTCAATTGAGCCCAGTTTTCCTCCTGGCCAGGCAGGGGGTCAGACCTGAAGATCTATAAGGTCCCTTCTGACCCTACTTCTATGATTCTATGTTAAAATAGAGTTTCCACCCTCCTCAGGCCACTTATTTTCACTGAGGATATGGACAAATGTCCAGTTTAGGTACAATAAAAGAGAGGAAGAGCTGCTGCTGGGGAGCATGTAGTAACTATTATAATCAAAATGCTACATCTACATAGGGTTATAGGGATACTAGTGAGGTAAATTGCCCTAACTTTGACCCTGGATGAAATCAGGTTTAAAGTTGAAGTGGTTTTGCAAGTTGCACAGTAACAGTTTCCTTTGATAACAGTATAATTATTACATCTGTCTGTGCCCTGAGCCAATATGAATAAGCTGATGTCTTTCCTTGTAATATGACTACAGGTTATTTTATAGGAAAATTAACTTCTTGGGGTTTTTTTTCCAGGATGGAAATTCTGACTCGGACAGTAGCAACCGTTGTCCCCAGGTAATCATCCCATTCTCATTATTTTTATCCCAATGTGTCCCTTAGCACTAAGACATTTCCTCATCAGTCATGTTGTATCAATGAGTTGACATATGAACATTTTTATGAGTCAAATTATTTTTATGAAGTTATATAGAATATTAGAAGAATCATGTTTTTATAACCTATTATACAGAACTACTAATAGGGAATGCCCTCAGCCAGTTAGTGCATTCTACATAGTAACTCATAATGTGCAGTAATAAAATACAAGGTCTGATCCTGTAATAAGTGGAATTGTGGCATTATCTTTGATGGCAGCAGGTGCAGAAGATTCAAATCTGTTTCTCTGATTAGTTATGGGCATCAGCAATCTGATAAACATGATGATTTTACTGTATCTATAGTTTAACACTTGTGTCTAATCCAATTCATTTGTAGTTTTATTAGCATACAAAACTATTTTTTTTTCCTAAGGCTGGAGGAAATATTTTAATTTTGCATCTTAAAAATCTGATAAAATAATAAGTTTCATGATCTAATAAATAAACGTGACTCAGGATATGACCCAAGTAGAAGCAGTTATACATTATAATGGCATTCTAAGGACATATTTCTCTTCTAGTTGAGATTCCCTACTAAGGAATGAATATATTGGATCCTTTGTATCAGACCATTTCTTAAAATCCCCATCCTTAAACCTTACATAATTAATAATTCATGTCTATTAACTATATTAACGGCACAGGAGGACCTGTGCAGTGTTCCATTGTTAATACCATCCATGTAAGATGGATTTTCCCTGGAAAAAAATTATATTTTTCTTTAAAGGCTGTTCCAACCAGAACATACAATGTTCATCATTTAAAAATGAGCATTTGCTGCTCACCAGCATTTTGTTATCCAGTATTTTTACTAAGTCAAAAATCATATCTGGATGATTTAACCTCCAACTAGTCCATGTTTCCTATAACAAAGAATTTGCAGTCAAACAATCTTAAAATGAAGCTTTTCTCCCTTAATCTTTTTTACACGATGGATCATTATCCACACACAACTTTGGTTCTAACCAAGCAAGCACCTCTTTCTTACCATCTTACTTCACAGCAGATTAGAAAGTTAAAGCTATGCATGATGGCTGTTGCTTAGATATTCTTTACAACTCCAACATTTGACTCAGGCCCTCAAATATGAAGTTCTTCTTTATGCAAAAACAGTTCCTGCACCTGATTAAGCCAGCTGTATGGCCTCCAATCCAAGGCAGGTTGGCAGTGCTATAATTAAAATAATGTCTGGATTTTTTTGTTTTCTTAACAGGGTGAATCCTCACAAAACTCTGGTAACCAGGTAAGTGGCTTGTTCTTTCCCATTTTAAGGTATTATTTTACTTCTAGTCATGGTAGCCAGTTGCAGGGCTAGAACTTTGTCCATTGTATTTAATCCCTTTTATAGAATAAAATTAATGCAATAGTTATATAATAATCATTATGTAGCAAATAACTGATAGCTGACATCTTTCCAGGATTCACAGAGCAATTCAGGCAGCAGTAGCAGTTCTTGTGGTGAAGTGAGTACACTTTTTCCTGAGTTTTTGTGCCAGTTTGTCTCTTAGTAAATACATACTAACATATGTGTTATTCTAAAGGCTTATCTAATTTTTAGTTTTCATTCAGCTGTGGAAACTGCAGCCAACTTTTCTCTTTTCCATAAGTATTATCACTTTTGTTTTTCTTTCACCCTAGTAAGGTGCCACACTGTTGTCACTGATAACACTATAGGGAAAGCTTAAGTTCCAAGTAAAAACTGTTTTAAAACCTTCATGAAAATATTTTCATTTTTACTGGAATTTGTACCATATTTTACTTGAGGCAACACTTCTTTTGTAATCTTTTCCATTTATTTAACCTTGATCAAATAAAACCCCAATTAAAAAGAATGCAGTGGCACTGTATGTGCAAAGTGAGTAGACAATGCTGATCGAGTTTAATGCCTATTTTATCTTTACTGATATACTAAGATGAAAGCAGTGGAGAAGCACACCCTGAGTATACAGTCTCTTTGCTATTTACCTACATAAGTATAAGCAGATTTATGTAACTTCTATTAAAATAAGGCCTTTAAATTGGAAATATTTGACTTGTTTCCAGAGTGGCTCTACATCTGAGTCTAATGGTCAAGTCAGCATGCTTTCTTTTTTCTACAGCATTTAAATTCTTCTACTGAGGAACACTTAAATATCAGAACTAAGTCCTCTAATGGCATATAGGTTTTTTTCCAGTGCAATTGATAGTTATATGGAAGATTTAAATTTCAAATTATGTTGATTTCAATTGATATCCTTCAGTCAGCTGCTAAGGCTGCTGCGCAGATACTCATTACTGTACAATACTTTTATGGTACTACACATTAAGTACATACATAAATACGTAAACCCATGACCTCTGATCAAATATTTGTTTAGGAACTAATTAACCTTATGCCTACAGTATATAGCCACTACCAAGTTTTATGTCGGCCAGTATTCACATTAATTTAAATCCCCACATATGCCATTTTTGATGTGCTTTTAATTAGTAGTGCTTCTTTGGCCATATTTCTCCTAATGCTCATGGGATTCATAAATTGCACCTAGGGTAAATCTAGCAAGAATCTGCCCCCACACAATGTTTTTGTGTGAATTAAAGGAACATCTTATTAATTCTAGTTTGTGCTTTAGAATTTTTTTCATATTTGTTTATAGTTTCTGATGTTTTACTCTCACAGGTCTAGAGCAACTTTCTACCCTCAACTTGGGTTTTTTTAGCTTCAGTTTTTAGCACTACTAACCCTCTTACTTCATTAGTTCCACTGCTACCTTTTAATCTCAGTTACTTATATGTTGACCTAAGAAGTGAGATTTAGGAGTAGGAGGAGCAACAAACTGAAAAATGCTTTTTTTCATATGTATGTTTTTTTGCTGTGCCTTGTAGACATTTCTATGATAAGTGTAGGTGTTCTTTGGGTTTGTCTACATTACGTTCAAAAGTGTGGCTACAGCTCATATTCCAGTTACTTTTAAATGAAGTTGTTCTGGGGCCAGTAACAGTATTGCCACAGAAATGCAGACAGCAAACTGTAAACTGAAAACCCCATCTGGGATCCTGAGTATAGCTTTTTTGCCTAGCCTAAGCTGCTTTAAAGCCAGCTTGGGCATATCTGTCCTGAACTTCAGCCACGCCTTTAATACACTTATAATACAGACATGCCCCATAACTCAGCTTTTTGTGCTTCTACTATCTTGGACTGATTTGTAAAATAAATTGGCTTTGAAGAGGGGAGACTGTAGCCACCTCATCTTTCCTTAAAATCCCTTTTTAACAGGCTTTTACATATATGAAATGAACAGGTACAAACTTTGTATTCAATCCATAGGAGGAAATAGATTGTTTTGTATTTGAATTCCTGTTCAAACAAAGAGAACATTTTCAAGAGATAAATGTCACTTACTTCTCATGCTGTAAGCTCTGAACTGAACCTGTTCGTGTCCAGTTCCTTTTTTTACTGCCAAATAAACCTTCATATAACAGCTTTCCAAAGAGTGGTCTCATTAAATGTTCTCAAATAGAACAGTGTGTACTTTCCCATGGTCCCCACATTCCTTAGGGTAGCTAAGTCCAGATAGGCATATTTTCCTGAAAGTATTTTATTTGGACACGTGGTTCTACAATACAAGAACGGTTTTCTGATTCCTTTGCAGAGTTCCTCTGGTTGTGGAAACAGCAAGGTTGTTGCTCGCGTAAGTGCACTTTTTCTCCACCATATATAAGGGTTTGGCCCTAACAAGAAAATAAACATTTGTTTTACTCTCTGTAAAAAAAGGGCCTAACTTATATGGTGCTACAATCTTCCTGTGGAGTGTCAGATACCTTCAGCATCTATTCCTTGTCAGAGGTATCTTGTTGGATTTGGGGACGACACTGAAACGAACTGTCATCCTGTGAGCTGAATATAGGAACAGGGCATCACTGAAATCAGAATTTAGTGTGCTGACAGTTGGTGGCAGACATTAAGATGGGCTTTGACTGGTCTCTAATCAGTGCTTTAATGTATAAATATTGATGAACTAATTATCTCTTGTATTATAATCATGTATTAATTATTTTATTTATTTGTTTGTTAATTTATTCATTTATTTATTAATTTGTTCATATATTAATTATTTAATTCATGGGGCCAAAGAACTCTTGGTGTCATAAAGAAAAATATAATTCAAATAAATCCTCATTCCTGAGTATACATGTCAAACACTTCTTCCACTAATAGCTAATATTTTTTTCACAGGATCTATCCCATGTTCTGCACATTAGGAGTCTCAGTGAACAGGTAAGCAATGCCTATCATCCTTTCCAGAATTTTGCCCCTGAGTCAGCTACAATATTGCTAATATTAGAGGTAGGTGCTATGTTATTTGCAAAACTAAGAACTGTGTTCTTCACTTGAATGCTAAGTAGAGATATTCAAAAAGCCCCAGGCTGAATCGATTCAATCTTTGTAGGTTAGTTTAAGCTGTGTAGATTGAATCAATAAGCAAGTGAACAGACATTCACTTTTGATTCCAGAAGTGCAGCCACATGCCTGCAATGGCCCAGGCCAGACGCCAAGGGGTGCTAAAGCATCCCTCCATGCTCAGCTGGAACAGACAGGTTGGGCCAAGGCTAGCCTGCCCACCCTGTGAGAGGGGGATTTGTCAGGAATGTGCAAAGCATCCTTGGGATGCTGGGGGGCTGTGAGTTAAATTGAATCTGAAAGGGATCTGGGACAGAAGTTCAATCAACCGATTTAACCTAAATCAGTTAAGTCTGATGCTACATCCATCCAGATTTCTCTTAAACTGGTTTCAGGCATTTTGAAAGTGTTTTATGTGAACTGAGCTCTTTGGTAATGTGTAGGGGCATAGAGGGAGTGCACCCCTGAGATTGGCCGTGCACCCGCTGGAAGTGTCAGCCGCGAAACTGGAAGTGCACTTCCGGTTTAGCTGCTAGTTCGGTGATCAGCCACTGGGGGAACCCCCTCCCCTCCAGTTGATCGGCTGGGGGGGGACACAGCCGCGAAACTGGAAGTGCACTTCCGGTTTAGCTGCTAGTTCGGTGATCAGCCACTGGGGGAACCCCCTCCCCTCCAGTTGATCGGCTGGGGGGGGACACCCCCCCCCCAATCAGCAATCTGGTGCCCCCCCAGACTTGGGAGGCACCAGTCGCCCATGACTGAGCTTCTGTTGTGTTACAGATTTGAACCAGTTTCTGATCATTTATATCAGTTTATGTGTAATTTATGTCCCTAGCCTAAGAGGAGATAAGGCTTTTCAACTGACTGGGAAAGACTTCCTAAAAATAAATGCTATTGGTTATGGGGCTACTTGCCTCCTTGACTGGCAACCTCCCTGTTAAACCAAAGAAGATTCAGAAGATAGCATCTTATCAGTAGTAAAACTAGAGGTGGGCAAGAGGGGTACCAGTACCAGACACCAATTTAGGAGGGGTGCCAAAATCATCCCCATACAGAATCTGTGCCCCAGCAGCAAGAGCAGCACCACAGCATTGTTCTTAAGCTGGTTGCTGCTGTTTTAAGAGCAAGAGCCAGGGCAGGCAGAACAACAAAGCAGCAACAAAACTTGTCCAGTGCAATTTAATGGAGCATTTCCTGCTACAAGTTCTTTCTAGACTAAATATCTTGTGTGCATAAACATAGAGAAACAAGAGGTCCCTTTGCCTATGTGTACTCCTAGCCAACAAGAGTGATAATTTGGCTCTATCAGTACTCTATTTTCAGGGATATCTAACTCTATCCTGTAGAACTATATTATTTAATCTATTGCTATAAAAGAAAAATGGCTTATTTCTGGTTCCCTTACAGAATGAACCTGCTACATCAAACAGCCGCAATGAAAATACTCAGGTAATATGATTTCTACTGTAGTTAAGATCTCATCACCTAAAGATGTTCAGTAAATGGCCATTTAAATTTCACAAATTGGGTACACTTCTTGTTTTCTCTTTATTCAAAAGAAAAACAATATTTGTTCATAATCTAGAAAAAAAGTATCCATTTTCATTTCTTAAACTCTGGCAGTTGCACTTCACTGTTAAGATACCTGTTAATAGCAGAAGTTTTCAGAATGAAGTTACCTTCCAGAATATGTGTCATACTTTGGACCTATTCCAAACAGCTGTAAAAGACTGCTATTCTAGTCCAATAACATTTTCTACATACTGTACTCTTACTTTTTAGAGTTGTATATGACAGAGTTACAAAACAATGGAGAATCAAGCCTTATCTCTTGTGCTCCTTCACTGCCTTTGGCAGATATGTAGGGCAGGTTCATGAAACCTGGTGTTTTGAAAAAGCCTTTTTACAAGGAAACAATTGGCTTCTAGTGTTCTTTATAGAATGAATTCTCTTCTATAGTAGTGGCAAAGTCAGTGATCAGATAAGCACCTCTATTCCTCTGTAGTTAGGAGTTGCTCACAAGATTCATCTTTGTAAGTGAACACATGTGCATCAGAAAGTAAGTCCCTTAGTTGCGGCGGGTGGGTTTTTGCAATTTTATTAACATAATGATATAAAAACTGAAGTTATTTGAAATCATCTGACATGACGTGGCATGTTGATTTATTTCTGTTTCACATTGTTACAATGCCTGAAGGTCCCAGTCAAGGATCCAGGGCCCCTATGGACCAGATATTGTACACACGAAATAAAGATGGTCCCTGTCACAAAGAACTCGGTCTAGGTCAGTCTTGCCATCACATCTCTAGGCTCCTGTGAGCATCTCATTCCTCACTAAGGTTCCCCAAAACCATGTCTGCATGGATCATTTCCAGTCACTAAACTGACTTCATCAGAGTACATGACCCAATTTTGGCTGCCATTGAAACAAAGAGATATCTGCTGGTTTTGTTTGGTGGAGAGAAATAATACAGAGTCTGTGATACTTCATCAAGCAGTTACATATCATTTGGCATTTGAATAAGTCTTTTCATCATAAAAAATCTCTGCTTTCTTTATAGGATGGATCATTTATTGCACACAGTGACAGTTCCAGGGGCCAAGTAAGAACTTCCTCCATTATATCTAGTCTTCTCCCAAATGCTTTCTAGCCACTGAACACATAAGAATCAGAAATAAGGTTCACTAATTCTGGTATAGGGGTTTTGAAGCATTATGTACCAAATTATTCTTGAAGCAATGCTGTTTTATTATTTGTTTATCCAAAATGGCACCATTGGATCAGATCTCAAGGCTGCTACATTTATGTACAGAAGTACAGTTGTTTTAACTGATGGAACAAAATGTAATACCCTTTACTCTGATTCCCTGCTGCCCTAAGAATACATTATCCACGTAACCCTTATGTGTCCCCAAAATTAAACATTATCAGGTTGTGTTGCCTAATTAATGTGCTCTAACACAGAGGTCTCAGTCACTCTGGGATGTCGCAAACTTTCCCCAACCTCAGTTCTACCTCTGAGACAGCAGTGCACCTACACAGAACTTTTATACGATAATAGCTAGTTTCTTATTTGCAGGGAGACTGTGTTTGCCCTGGTGACAGTAGAAGCCCTGTCCAGGTAACCATTTCTTTCTTTTGTGTATTTAGTGTTAACTAAAAGTTCCTTTTAAGTGCATATGTGGACAAGATGCGCTAGTGAGGGATGAAAACTTGCTGAAAAGTAATATGACTCATTTCAGGGTCTTTCTATACATACAATTACATATAAAGCTATAAGATGACTGGTTTTGATTCCCCCATGAAATATTAGATATTCTGTAGTTTGGGGTACTGATATGGAAAGCTAAGTGGAATATACTATCTCATCTGTTGTCCTTCATTCCGTCAGGCAACTAAGAACAGGACAGTTTGTTTTCCTGAAAGATTACTGTATAGCAAGAAGTTCATATAAGAGTATAAAACCATTTTCCTGTTGTATACAGGCTGGAACTTCCACGTACAGCAGCAGTGGCTCTTCTGGCCAAGTGAATATGCCTTCTCAGAGTTAGATGCCCCCAGTATCCTAGTTACTGTGTCCACTGTATTAAAAGCAAGTGGGCAATACTAAATGGTGGCTATTATTGAATTTTGATCAGGAAAAATACATTTTCCCCATTGCACCAGCTTAATTTAAATACAGGATGCATCACCTTAATTAAAATGGTTTTAATAGTAATTTAAATTAATTAGTACAGCTTGGTGTCTAGACATGGCCCAAATATTCCATTCACTTTAGTTTCTGAATTTTTAATTTCATCTACAGAAAACCATGGGTTATTTTCATCTAGGAATACCATTCCGTAAAATGAAATTTTTCACAGAAAAATGACACTTACCCCTGTGTGTTCTGAAAACTGAATGCAAACACACCCTGATTCTAGGAGCCAAATTTTAATCTTTTCTTTTAGATTCATAGATTCATAGATGTTAGGGTCAGAAGGGACCTCAATAGATCATCGAGTCCGACCCCCTGCATAGGCAGAAAAGAGTGCTGGGTTCAGATGACCCCAGCCACATTGCCATCTAACCTTCTCTTGAAGACCCCCAGGGTAAGGGAGAGCACCACCTCCCTTGGGAGCCCGTTCCATTCTCTTTTTAAGTACAGAACAAATCTTCCACCAGTGAATCTTTTGGAAAGGTAAAAATACTTATGCTTCCTTTTTAAAAACTGACCCCCAATGAAACTGATCAGTAAAAGACAGGTATGAAGCTGCAGGTCAGTTTTCATGTACTGTGGCCCATTCTCTAGTCTGCTTTTCTACCTAGCAGCTTAGTGTAGGACCTATCCTGTTACAGTAGCTCAGCTGCAAAACTGTAACCGTTCTTTGTTTTCTCTTCAGGATGGACCTACCCCACAGAGCCCAAACCGGTCTGATGATGAGGTATGTGCCCTTTCTCCTCTGTATGAAGATCAGGTTTCTGCTTTCTGATTCTAGCCCTTATCTTCAAGTTCAGATCAAAATTAATCTGTTGTAATGTTAGAATGTTGTAATGGTCATTTTGTCTCAGTAGTAATCTTAGTTTTCTGTTACTAGATAAAATATTGGGGGGCCCCATGTTGCCTCCACCCATCCCACATTCCAGGATTGGACCCCAGGGAACCCACACTTCCTCCACCTCATCCTGCATGCTAAGATCAGGCTTTTGGGGCCCTGCACTGTCTCCTCCCAGTCCTGTGTGCCAGAATTGGGCTTCAGGGGCCATCCTCCATCCCCTCATGTCCAATCTAGCACACAGGGTCACAGCCCACAGGACTCCCCATGGACCTGTGACATGGTGGTGGTGGCTGGATCTGGCTCACAGCCTGAGGGTTGAGCACCCGTGGACTAGTAGTCACTCTAATCTATTCTTCCAAACAAAAAAAAACAAAACAAAAAAGCGTAGGTGTGTTATTTAAGCAGTCTTTGAATTAATTGGTTTACCTTTTTTTTTTTCAGGGTTCATCTTCCTCAGGAGGCACTCAATCTGTTGAAAGGGTAAGAACTGCTCATCTTGGGCACACATGTCCAACACCTGCTCCAGCGCAGTTTAGTTAGAACGCTCCAGTAGCCTCGGCATCCCGTGTATTCAGCATCCCTGCATTTCAAAATGGCACCGGGATGCTTTAACTAAAGCTTGTTGAATGAGCTTTAGTTAAAGCACCTGCGCCACCATTTTGAATCTCAGAACACTGAATACATAAGACGCTGCAGGCATTTTAATTAGAGCGGCTCCCAAGAGCCACTCTAATTAAAACACCCCTTCCCCCAGAGCATATGTAAAGATTTCCAATGATTTCAACCAATTAATATCTTTTCCCTGAAAAGAACAATGGTCAACTGTGTATAAAAATGGGTCATGTGTTTGGCTATTGTGTTAGAGTTCCACATTTATTTTTAATTTATATATACACTTTGGTTTCAAGATACCCTTTGATATAAAAGTAACTAGTTTCCCATCTTTTACAGAGTTCCTCTTCCTCTGAAGGCAGTCAGTCTGGTGGACAGGTAAGCACTAAATTTCCACCATATTGATCCAAAACTGGACTTTTCACTGAAATATAGAACTAAAGGAATATAGAGGTATCTAGCTTATATTTCTTTCAATAAACTTCACAGAATATCAATGTAGAATCAATGGAGACAATATAATATTAAATCTCCATCATTTTTAACACAGACAAATAAGTTTTAAAAAAAGGATAAAGAGTAGGGGCTCTTCCATCAAATAGGCCTTGATTTAAAGAAGACTAATGAAAAAGAAAGTAATTGTTTCCGTTATAGTTGCGGGGGTATGCGTAAGCAGTAAACTGAAGAAATGATTGCAATACAGGTAGGCAGAATTTTGTGATCTTTAGTCTTTAGTGGTGTTAGCACAAGTAAAGATAGCTGTGAAGCTGCAGCAGCACAGGCTTCAGCATATTTATGATGATCAAAGCACATGTCAGCATATATTTGCTTACTGATACTATAACCCCGCCTTTATTTTTGCTGTTGAAGCACGACTTTGATTTCAAAAAGTACTTTCACACTTAAGTAACTAGTTTCTCATCTTTTACAGGGTTCCTCAGGAGGTAGTCATTCTGCTGGGCAGGTAAGCATTCTTCATTCAGAGTGTTTCTTGTTTGGTTGGTTTTTTTCCCCCAAGGCTAGAAAATGAGACTTATCTTTTAGCTGGGTGTGGAAGAAAAAGAAAAAATATCCATGTTTAAATAATTCAGTTTAGATTCTCATTTTCAGGAGTATGGAAGGGCTAAAAAACATGGGTAAGCTTGAGAGCTGGTTCAGGTTTTGTTGGTCTTTCATTGCACAAAAGACAGTAAGAAAGTGTCTTCTCTTCCAACAGACAAGGTTCCTTGGGTGAATTTGATATCTTTTATTAGACCAACCCAAATAGTTGGAGAATAGGTATTAAGCAAGCTTTCGGGTTCAAAAACCCTTCGTCAGGCTAAGGAAGTTTCAGTAGTTGGTGTGTGCTCTTCCTGGATGGAATAAAAAGTAAGGAAGCCAGGGGCTGGGCTGGGGAGTCAGTTGCCAGGCAGATTATAATGTATTAAAAATCCAATGTCTATGTTTAGTCCATGATCTCTAGTATCCAGGAGGTTGATGAAATGGAGCTCATAGGCTTGTCTCTGAGAAGTGTTGTGTAAATTTCCCTTGAGGATCAGAACTGAGAGATTGGAGAGAGAGCGGCCCTCCTGTGAGAAATGTGCCCCCACCGGTAATTGGGTATTTCTGTCTTTGATGGATTTCCGGTGTGTGTTCATTCTGGTGCACAGTTGTTGTTTGGTCTCTCCTACATATTTTCCATCAGGGCATTTGGTGCATTGGATGAGGTATATTACATTTTTGGAGGTGCAGCTGTAAGATCCTGGGATGCTGATGGCTCTGTTGTGGGGTGTAGTAATAGTGGGGGTGGTGGAGATGTGTTGGCAGGTTTTGCATTTCTTGTCCTGGCACAGTCTGGATCCTTTTGGTGTGTTCTGGGCTTGAGGAAGTTTGCTTCTGGTGATGAGGTTGGCAAGGTTCGGTGCTTGTTTAAAGGCTAGGATGGGTGGCTCTGGGAAGATCTTTTTAAGAATAGGGTCTCTGTCTAGTATGGG